ACTGCTGTCTCTTAAGGGATCATGTCCTGATCAGAATGTGTGGAAATGGTTCCTGTGATAAAAATAGGCATCAAGATATAAATGAAATGTCTCAAATCTTTGATGCAAAGTTTAATTGAAGCATTACAGCCTTTGAAATCCACTAGTCATTTTGTTTGTCAGGGATGGGCCTTCTCAGATAAGTGCTCACGCTGCCAGATAGTTGCCACAAGCGTCAGCTTAAACAATGCTCCTTTGCCAATAAGATTTCCTCATTAAAATGTTGGAGGTTGCCCTGAATCTGTGCCTGGGTGAAGGCAGTTTGAAGTTGTCTCTCAGACTCTGTGCTCCTCCTCCAAAGAATGATGACTATTAGTCTTCAGTTTTCACAACGTGGACCTTGTCCAAAGTTGGTGTGGATAGACTTTAAGGTCTTGGACTTAGCTGGTAGTACTTGTTCTGCTAAGCAACAAAGGTGAGCTACAATAAAACCAAGTGTCCACTTAGTCTCTTTGCAGTCAGAAATGTAGGAGTTTCCACCTGCCTGACTGAGAGTGAGCTGAGACTGCTGACTGACACTGAGGAAGCCAACAGCAGCAGCCTGCCTTCAGAGAAACACTAGATCAAAGCTCTCTGGTTTCATAATCACTGATACTCTCACGTGGATGATAAAGAAATCACAAAAGGCTTTTGTTGGAAACTCTGTGCTCAGAGCATCTACAGGTTATTAAGAATATCAGTATTTGTATTTATCCACACTTATCCTTCTGACCTATTTAGTTCAAAATAACTTTGTGAACTTGTGGCTCCCACAGCGTCTGTGTTAGTTAGTTAAATTGATGTAACTGGAATTCTCTGCTCGTACTCCAGGTGGTGCAGCTGCTAAAAGCAGGAAAAGCTAAGGAGGTGTCCTACAATGCTCTGGCCACTCACATCATTGCAGAGGATGGGGACAACCCTGAGGTGGGCGAGTCAAGAGAGGTTTTTGACCTTCCTGTTGTCAAGGTAAGGGTTGTGTTACAGCATACGCACTACTCCAAGTTTTTCTGTTTCTCACTTGATTCTGTAACAACATAACTTTTGAGACAGCTCTAACTCCTCTGCCATAAAATTGTCATACAGCAGTATTTTTGCATTCTGGTTGAATCTGTACCAGCAGCTTACAGACACGCCGTCAGCCTCTGACTTACAGTTCTGCTCATGTTTTTCAGCCATCCTGGGTCATTCTGTCAGTCCGATGTGGAGACCTGTTACCGTATCCTTCCACTGTCCAGACCAGCTCAGACTGCTGTTTGCCAATACATAAATCTATATTAATTCATTGATTGGTGCTGAAGGGTAATAACTAGACCTATGAAACAGTTCACATCAATGTGAGCATCAGTTAATGGTCATAAACATCAGTCTGTTCCTACAGATGTAACATTGTAACCACATTGGTAATAACAAATTGTCAAATAAGAGCGGCTTCTCCCTTTCTTACTTTTTCCATAACCAAGAACGCCACAGAGTTACTGGCTTCTCGCCAGAATCGGGGCAGATATTCTTTGGTGTCACAGCTTGTCTTCCCAGAGTAAGTGTGTGTGTGTGTGTGTGTGTGTGTGTGTGTGTGTGTGTGTGTGTGTGAGAGGGCTTACTATCAGGTGTGTATGTTTGGTGTTATTGCACTCTGAAAAACGTGACGCTTGTTTGTTGTGTTTGCACACAGCTTCCTGATGATCTCAATGCTCTGTGGGCTTACATGACCTTTTATGGAGGAGAATGCCAGCTTAACCTAAACAAGAAGGTCACTCATTTAGTATTGAAGGAACCTAAAGGGGTGAGTGTGCGCTCCATGGAGCTGAGTCTAAACTTTCAGCCATCGGTGCTGATATGCTGTTAGCGGCTACTTTCTTCTCGACACAAAGTCATATCTGACTTTTTCATAGGTTCACTTATTTATTTTCACTACAGATGGTGTTTGATTGCATGTACATGTGTATATTTGTCTCCAGGCTAAATTTGAGTGTGCCCTGAAGCACTCCGGCATCAAGATCGTCACCCCTGACTGGATCACAGATTCTGTTAAAGGTAACATCAGTGCAGGCAGTCTAACGATGC